AGTTGGTGAAATTTGAGTTGAGCGAGGGTGGAAATTGAAATCTTGTATAAAGTGTCACATAGTGATTTGTCTAGTCTTGTTCATAGGGTTTGGTTGCACATAATGGTTTGTCTAGTCTTGGTCTGTGGGAGGTTCATTTGTATTATCTTTCTTCTTCCATTACTAGGCAGGCAGTGGAGTAGGCAGGGTGATCTTGATGACAGTTGGAACATTTGAAAAAAGAGGGCAAGTGTGATGATTGCCACTGTATTAGGCGCAGAGTGTTCGTTTATGACAGAAGTGTATAGTGTGGAATAGCATCGGGGAAAACGGCGTGATTGATTGGAGTCTTCAATAGTGATTTTGTGATGCAGTAGGAGTGTAATTATCGATTTGATCTGGTCATTATCGTTATTGGTGATTTTATTACGTAGTTCGATATCAGTCACGGAGTTGTTGTCGTTTCTTCACTTGAGAGATGGCGAATGGGAAAGACGAATTGAGATAAGTCAGTCCAAAAGTGAGTCAGAGGACGATTGGCAGATAGTTCTTAAATGACAAGTTTGACGTGACGTTCTTCAGTTGTCCTGCGATAGTATTGATAGTCGAAATATAAGTTGCTGTCAAAATATCTTGTTCTGATCTAAGAACTAAGCTAAATATCTTCGAGGACTTGAAGTAGTTTTATGTAAGCAATTGTTTTGTGTTGAATAATGGTCCTCTTGGTCCTCTTTGCAATGGGTATATGTCGTTGAAGGTCTGCTGTAGTCTAAGGGTGTTAATAAGTCCTTTGTTGTCAATACGGATTGCTCCGATCTTGCGTCTCTTTGCAAGCGTGTGGTTGGTTACAATGAGAGTATTGGCAGTATTGTCGTTGTTCGTCTAGTTGTGGTCCTTTTAGGTGTCGATGTGGAATAGAAAGTCGTACCAGTTGAAAGTGGTGACAGGGAGAGGCTGGTCGGAGATATTCTTGTGAATTATCTTATGAGTGATTCATCAGATGCTGCGGTATAGTTGTCCGAAGAGGGCGGAGATGATTTGGGAATAGTTGGGTTGGTTGTTAGAACTTGAGTGCTGTGAGACAAGGAGGGGAGGGATACGAAAGTGTGTGCTGGGTGTTGAACGTTGGGGTGGGGAAAAATTGTAGAGCCATCGTCACTCACCCTTTTTTGTTGATCAGCATTATTGGCCAATGAAGAATTCCCTCTGCGATAATTAGTGAAGTGTCGGTTGTTCTTCTATGTACTTTCTTCCCAGCGTCCAGAGCTGGTTCCAAAAGTATTCCCCTTGCATGCCATCATCGCTAGGCGCGAGAGCACTTCTGCCGTTGGAATCCATCATTCACTGATCGTAATGATTTCCCGGCCGTTGCGTAGGAGTACTCATCTGGTGGGTCTTTCCCTGGTCAGCAGCTCAACAAGAGCGGTGCGTACGGTACGTACATAGCAATCGTGAGGTGTCGGTGGTAAACCGTTGATCGACGATGGACAGGTGGCGGTAAGCCGACGCCAGAGTACGATCCTACGCACAAAGTGCCGTAGATTTAAGGCTAAAAGTCAATTTCAATTGCAAGAGTCTATCTGTCTGTCTCATTGCAAGCTCCAAGAGCGAACATAGAAAGGAAATGCGCGTAATACGTGGCTTCTTGAAGGAAATATAGAAGGAACATTTTCTACAAGTTCTTTTCGAATATTGACAAAGCGTATGTTATTGTATTTGTCTCTTCGAGAGCTTTAGAATGCTTATAGAAAACTATATACTTATATTAAAAAACAAATTTTCCTCAATACCGAGAAAACTAAAAGAGTTAGAAACAAGAGAACGAAATTTGTCATTTGTCCATCTTTCAACTTCGCACAATCCGCTAACCTGCACCTCTAAACGTTTCGAAGATATTTGCCCTGGCCCATTAATGTGGTCCACATGTATAATACAGAAATTACTTTTTGAAGTAGGTTATAGAACAAGTTATTATCATTTGAAGTGACCTACTTTGCGTTCTTTGATTTAACATAACGATATATCAGCGTTTGTTCCCGATTGAGTTACATAAAACTGCATTCTGACAGTATAACATATTTTTAAATTCAAATTTTTAATTGGTGAAAATGATTTTTATAACATTCCAGTTGAGAGATTACAGAAATATTGTTAAAACATTAAAATCTTTTAAGCTTTTTAATATAAGTTTGAATAATATAAAGGTTACCTCTGGACAAGATGGTAAAAAGTTCCCCTACACCATATAATATGTGAGTAGTTACACTATAACTCTAATTTAAAAATGTTTGAAAGGTTTCTTAGCCCCCGTTCCACCACCTACACTCTTCTTCAGCCAAAAACTACAGACAAATGATTTTCTGTGTCTTAGAACAACGGTCCAGACCCAATCTAAAAACTCTCAAAACACCTATTATTATGAATATTTTAAAGATTTTTTTCTACTTGGCTGTCCGGAAGGCGCCACGGCCTAGGCACCTACGAACTTTCTCCAGGAGGAAGGGCGCGGAATGGCGGCCGAAACGTTGGCAACTGTGCTTAGGACGCGGCGTCTCCCGGACAGCCAAGTAGTAGACTCGTAGCAGTGGAAACCGGCAACAGGTGACCCAGCCTCTCGGTCACGGGATAAGGGTTTCGTGAAGTTAGCACGAAGACGTCCCCCCACCGTGTATACTGGTCTTCTTAACATTAAGGTGGGTTTTCTCATCGCCACACAGCAAAAGATTCTAGGACATTACAAAAGAATTAAATCTGAAAAATTAAAAAAATAATACGCGAAAAGTACTTAGATTTTCGAATGCGAATTGAACAAAATCTTATTTTAAAATCTAACTTTAAAGAACAAATTTTATTAAGGGAAAAATCTGTATCTTTAATATGTTAGTCGTAAAAAGACTACGAAAAAATGTTGAACTTTTGCAATTTTCGAAAAATTAGGGATTTTAACGAACATGAGATCTGCACCATTCTGCTAAATACTCTTCACACCATCCACCAACAAAATTTAATGAAAACGATGTAGCCTTTTTTTTTAATTTGGAAAATGTCCCAAGAGCTTCACGTAAAGTACCCCCCAAAATTAAAATATCGGTTTCAAATTCAAGGAGCTACGACATTATCCAGATCGATTACGAAATATCAATTTTGGAGAAAATCGCCTGAATGCTTTAGCCACTAGCGTTGTTCACAGAGGACGGACGGACAGACAGACGGACACAGACGAACAGACAGACGTTTTGCCGTTATTCGATATTTAGGTATCAAAGACCCACAAAACATGGATTTTGGCTACACCACGTGCTAGAGGATTTAAGAAAAATTGTAACTGGATTTATCCACTTTGCCGTTACCAGGGCCCTCTAATATGAGTTTCTCTGACGAAAATTCACCGCATCCCGCGCAGCATTACATAACTTTCTGTATTCCGTAGTGAGAAAATGTTTGATACTAAACATAACAGTGATACAAGAGCACACTTTCTCGTATTATTTGTACCTTTTGCAAATTTCTAAAATTCAGAGTTCAACAAAAATGAGAACTGCGACTGTTTTAAGTGTCCTTTTTTCTAACTGACGAACAAGTGTAAAGAAAACAATGTGAACAATTTTTGAGAAAAAGTTTATAAATTCCCTCATTTCAAGCATAAACGACGCTAAAATTAGTTCTCTTACAAAAATTACATTATCTTGTTTAAACATCTGTTAAAGAAACAGTTTCATTATCAACGCTATCATCAATATTGGGGTTTGATGATTTTAAATTCTGCAGTTTTCAAAAATACAGAGTGCCAACGCAACATTAAATATTTTTTTCAGTCGTTGAGAGCAAAAGTGATTAACGTCAAATTTGGGATGAATTGAGTTAGATGCCCTGGTAGGTGGTTTCCACATTGTCCCATTACGGGCTAATATGGTATGACTCAAACTTCAATACTCTTAAGCAACAGGCGAGCACAATGCACAAGTAGTCAACAAGTTGCTCATACCGCTGCATGCCACTGTAACGCAAGTCACAGAAGGAACGAAACAACAGCGTCCAGGGACTCTCAAGAAATAGCTTCTTGTTTATCTGTACCCATTAGAGAAGAAGCATCTCGAAAAAACGCATTTAATTGCTTTCAATGATACGTGCACAGGTCAAAATCGCAACTTCAAAATTGCTCTCATTTGGATGAAAATTGTGACATACAAATCCAGTTTTTCAAAATCAGAGCGCCTCGAGTCGTGCCAGATCGACAGGGGATACCGAATTTGGAATAACTCTACGTTGGGTTTAGGCGCTAGTTGTGACGGACAGACGGGTAGACTGACAAATGAACGAACACGTGGACGTTTTACAAAATCCCACATTTTCGGTATTAGGGGACCCCAAAACGTGTATTTCCGTTGAATTTTCTTGAAATCGATTTTCCGCAGGAATACATAACTTTCCCCATACTACCGTATACATACCTCTATAAAACCTCTATGAAAGTAAAAAGCTGCGTTAAAATATATGTAAATCACATATCGGTCGTAATGAAAGTAATGCAATACGAATTTTTGCTTAACTATCGACAGAATGGTTACGTAATAATGGTATTATATATCACAGATTTATTAAGAAGTGAAGCTTGGCTGTTCCCAACTGACAAAACCCAAGGGTCATGTTTTGATTTACCGCAAAACAAGCTACCGCGACTCGCAAAATAATAATTCCGGATCAAAGTTGCCAGATTTCGCTACAAGATCCAAATCTGCAAAAATCATGGAGGTTCCCATTTAGAACTTCAACGACTTTCCTCCATTATCTCGTATGTTCAGATATCCAGCAAAGCACTGCCTAACCAGTCGTTAACTGTTTCCAACACAGCTGAGAACGTCTGTTAACTTCAGTGAAAATTTAGTATGAGTTACAGTTTGTTAAACGCAACTTTTCTCTTGTGGACCGTTAACAGCCAATGTATCGTTACTGTGTTAAGAGGTGTTTGAGAAAAGAAGTCAATCTGGAAGGAACATTATTTTTATAAGGTCTATACTCACTTCATTGTATCCCATAAATCCTTTTTCTTTAGTAAAAGGGCCAGAAAACCCTTCCTTGAGGGTCATAGATCCAAGTTTTGGCTTTTCATTAACATTGCTGGCAATGAACGTATGCCCGTAGAAAGGTAAACCCAATAGAAGTTTCTCCTTTTTAGCTCCAGAAGACAGTAAGAGCTCCAATGTCTTTTCCTGGAATCAAGGCATTAAAAAATCAATGTAAAGTGAAAATACTTGTCTTTTAAAGAATATTGTAGGAGTGGGCTTGATGATTGGATATCCTAATTTTGCCGTTCCTTTCACTTCGACTTGCCGTGTATTTCAGTTAACTGGAAAATATATGCAAACACCCTACCAATTAAATTGGTTCTGAACTGATCCGCGAACTGTGGGATGACTTGAGAAGAGAGGTAACAGCAGACCAGTATTAGGGAAGCAATACAATATTCATAGAAATTAATCGGTTTTAATAATGTGATCTTTGAAAGTCTGTGTATTTACAAAATGTTCAAAGACTCTTCCTTGCATACTATTCTTCATATTTAGTAAACTTTGTAATCTCTTCACACAGAGAGGAGAGAGGGGCTAGAGTGGACATTTTCCTTAATGAACTTGTAACTTATATTATATTTTATATTTAAAGTACTTTATGTGCTTGCTGCATACTATAGTATTTCATATTACTTCTATTCCTAACCACATACTGTCACTGCTTCTACTACTACTACTACTACTACTACTACTACTACTACTACTACTACTACTATTACTACTACTATTACTACTACTACTACTACTACTACTAACACTACTACTACTACTACTACTACAACTACAACCACTACTACTACTATTACTACTACTACTATTACTACTACTACTACTACTACTACTACTACTACTCCCTCAGGCATTGCTTGCTTTCATCTCATTAACTTATCTGTGAAAAGCAATTTTTATTCTCCTTACCACACTCAGCTCATCTTCATCACTTTGGCCCCTAAGAGGAGCGTTAACTCCAGCAACAGGTTCCCAAGCTCCATGGTAGTCATAACTCATAATGTGCAAATAGTCCAGATGCTGACTAAGGGAACGAAGATCGTACGCTGAACGAATAACATCAGGAGATGCACCAATAGCGGAAGTTAATAACCACCGACGTCCTGAGGAATGTGATTCGTGATCAAATGCTTGTCTTAATTCCTAAAAATAAGAGAAACAGCAATTAAAAGAATGCATAGAATATTAAAGTAAGTAAGATACTAAGAATTGCTGAAATATTTCTAGTAAATTTAAAAATTTAATTTTTATCTAATCAGAAACATTTCAACTTTATTGAGTCTAGTAGAAAACACAAAACACCACGAATAGTGAAATTCATTGTAATGGAAGCCACCTGTAATTTCAGATTTATTAGTATTTTGTTTCTCTGCAGATGTGCGTTCTTGGCAAGGTGGCTAGAGGAAAGGTGCAGCCAGTGAGTGTATCCAACTATGCCACACTTTCAAATATAATAACAGTGAGAACGAAAGGGCGGTCTCAAATTAAAACAAAGCAATAATTACATGCAAATTCAATATTAATTTATTGTTCTAAACAGAAATTTATTAGTTGCAGTTTATTAAATAAATATTGTTGAAAACGGCATAGTTATACAATCAAGCCAAACATTCGAGTATTATATTAAATAGTAAGAACGGCCAGAAACAATTGAAACTATTTTATTACCCAAAAGAAAAATTTATTACTGTTGCCGTTAATTAAAAACTGAAACTGAAATACTGGAAGAGGACTTCTTCCAAGCAGTTAAGAACATGGGAAACTGGAAATCCTCCGGCATTGATATTATCCAGAATTATTGGATTAAGAACTTAACAGCAATACATTCTCATCTAACAAAGGCTGTTAGTAAAATTTTAGAAACCCAAAGGAACTCCCAAAATGGCTAGCACGCGGCATCACGCACTTACTACCCAAAGCGGGTGACAGCTCTTTGGCAAAGAACTACAGGCCAATCACTTGTCTGCCAGTACTGTACAAAGTTATAACTGCAGCATAGCTGACAAAATGTTCAGACAAAATGGCTGCAAGGAAATCTTGTTACTGAATAAAGTAATCTTGAATGATGTAAAGTAACGAGAGCATAATTTAAGCATGGCTTGGGTTGACTACCAAAATGTTTTTGACAGTTTACCACACGATTAGATTTTGAAGACCCTGGAGATCTATCGATTTCATCCTACACTTATTGAGTTCTGTAAGACTAGTATGAAGTCGTGAAGAACCAGGTTACTAATATACTGCGGAAAGGAAGCAGTAGAAACAAGAAGTATTCAGATCAACAGGGGTATTTTTCAAGGAGATTCGCTATCCCCTTTGCTATTTTGCATTAGTTTGTTCCCACTATCTAGACAGTTGTCGCAAGTTAATTTTGGTTTCAAGATCCATGGTGATGAAAGACCAGTATCACATTTGTTTTACGTGGATGATCTTAAAGTGTTTGCTAAGAATGGAGCTATTCTCTTCCAAACAATGTCTGTCGTGAATGACTTTAGCATTAACATATGCATAATACTTGGTCTTGACAAGTGTGCAAAGTTAAATTGAAAGAGAGGCAAAGTGAGACCATTGAAGTCGATATTCACACTGTGAATCAAGATCTTGAGCCAAACAAAACTTACAAATATCTGGGCATTGAAGAATGGGAGAACATCTCGAAAGAGACAACGAAAGAGAGAATTCGCAGGGAGTATGGTGGTGCCTGTAGTCGAGTTCAGTTTCGGACTCGTGGACTGGACTGTGCACAAAATGCGAATCATTGATCGAAAAAATAGAAACCTGCTAACAATGCAGGTCATGTCGCCCACCCTCAAGCTGATGGACATAGACACTAGGTGTCACGTAAGAAAGGAAGAAGAGGCCTCAGAAAAATTGAAGCCTCCTGGCACAATGCAATAGTCAAAATTCGAAACTATATAGTCAGTCATCAAGATGACACTCGAGGCAGGTCATGACATATGACCGAAGAATGGGAAATAGATATAGTAAGTATAGTAAGACGCTTTCCGAAGAAGCCAATGCAAGACATGCTGAATAGCAGAGACTATAAACTTCTTATGCTACTTAACATGAAATGTGACACAAAATATTGTAAAGAAATCGTAGAGAGACAAACCACTCCAACGGAAATATCTAGAAAGAATGTACAGGGTGCAAATCAATAAAGATCAATTATTTATGTGGCTTAAAAGGAAGAATGAAGCCAGAATCGGAAGCAGTTCTAATAGTTGCAAGCGTTCTGGACACATTATAATGCGGCTCTTAAATTTCCCCAAGATGATAAATGCCGCATTTGCCAGGAACAAGTAGAAACCATTGATAGAATACTTGAAAAAACACGACATGGTGTGTAGTTACTTCCACAGCAGATCTGTACCGCCCTCGAAGTTGCAAACACATGCTCCAAATGCTACGAACATTCACCAAACCCGGTGACATCTATTGGACTGTGTACCGCACTGCGCATCATTAAACTGTTTGCACGAAAGCGGCAAATAAGCCGGATAATGTAATCCGGGATTTGGAGAAAAAATCGCGTCCACTTCTAGATGTGGATTGCGATCAAAATGTCGTAACCAAGGAGACGCTAAGATCAATCATTAAAAAGTTATAACGCAAACAAAAATCCAAACATGTGATATTTTAGCTACCAAAACTTATGCTGAAGTATTTAGAGATGCAAAAAGAAGAATTTTTCTTAAAAATATCAATTTTATCAGGATAAAAAATAAAACATTCTATGACACTTGTTGCAAAAAGTTAGAAGGCTATCCAGTTAAAGAAAGTTATCCAGATTACAAGGAGCAAAAAAATTAGTTTTTTTCCTTTTTTTAATAAATAATCCAACAATTAATTACACAAATTAATAAAAGCAAACACAATACTAATAGGAAAACATTCTTACCTTGACAAGTAACACAAAATTTTCCCGATCTGCAGCGTTTCCTCCTCGCTTCGTAGGGTATTCCCAATCAAGATCCAAACCATCAAATCCGTGTTCCCTAAGAAAGAAATAATAACATTGTATTATATTTCTGAATAACAGAATACAAATGTTTATTAGTGCAGCGTAAATCAATATTATAAAATAAAATATATTTTAACTTTTCACACTAAAGTCATAATCGTTACGTTAAGACTATATACTAAAAGTAAGTTCGACATTTACTGTTCCGTATTTTTAAATAGTCAACACAAAAGATATAGATCATTTCGAAACAGAAACTTTACACATTTATTATCGTTAATGTCTTTCATTACACAATACAAAGTCATTACGACGTTTCGGAGATTTTGTTCTCCTTTATCAAGTACATCAATTTCATAATAACATTATTACAATTATTGTTTTAGGTTTGTTTTGTGGAATCATCAACACGTTTTGATGAGGTTTCACTATTCTTTTAATACTAGGTAGTGTTACATCGACCCAAACAGGTCACGTCATTTCACACGTTAGCCCAAAAATGACACGACACGTCACGTCACAACTCGTCAGACACGGTGAGCTCTTTTTAAAACCTCACTAATGGCGTGATTTCAGCTAGCAAACCCTACACGATTGCCAACATTTACAATCAACATAAAAATGTGGATCTCATGGGTGCCGGGAAAAATCTCGTCAAACTTTGTTTGGCACTTGAGCTTGAGCTATCACTTTCTCATTTAGAAATTTATTTTCGGTTGAAAAAAGGAAATTAAAAACTACCTTTGTATCTAAAGTAACGTTCATAGTTTATGACTGAATCTTTCAAACTCCATAAATCTTGATAACATTCACTAAATAAAGACGTTTTATAATTATTTTCATGTATACAATTTAACAAGTATATATATTTGTAACAAAGTTTAACAAGTAATGTACAGCTCTGATAGACGTTTTACCCGATTGCAGGAGCGATCCCTAAATAATTCACGAACTGTCTGACCGAAATTCTTTCTTCTGGTTCCTGTGTAAGAGATTTAGAGAGAAGAAGAGAACACACTTTAAAGTCGTCCCTTTGCACTCTCCACCTTGATCTTCCTCCCAGTATGCCCCACACGGGCTTCTTTTTACGGCAGTCGAAACACTACATTCGAAGACGGACGTACGGCTCTACATTGGATTTCATCTAATAAAGTGAAGTCTGTAGGCAAAATGTAATCTTCAAATTATATAAGGTAGGAAGTGGAGGAATCCTACATTCGATGATGGATCTTTTCTGTTTAATCTCGTTACCTTCACTATTTCCGCTGACGATAGTACGTCCTTAAGCAGATTTCAATCTTCGAAGTTTATCGGGATTCCTGTATTAACACCTTTTTGGTCCCTTCTGAAGTCTGTTATAAAACTATTAAAACCAATGTTTTGTCATCTTCCCTTAACCAAAGATCATAATGGCTTCCCTGCGCCATTTTTAATTTCAGTAATGGACTAGTACTTCTTCATAACAATCTTTCCAATCTCGGAAATATCGAAGTTACTGGAACTGCGATAATTTTTTCGGATCCATATGCCTTATGGCTCTTCATTTTCTGTAGAATCTACCTTCCTCTTGTTGTGTTAGGGAGCATTTCAGGGTCCAATTACTTCAGACTTCAATCACTTACAAATTCAAATAAAAACCAAAATACCTTTGATTCGCTCGAAATCTGATTTACAATCATGAAAAAATATACTACTCTGGTAAAGATTGATGTTTACTCGATCAAGTTAGCAATCGAAGTCCCACCGAACCGAGAGACCATAGATCTGCTCCTTAGAAAGCTGGTATCAACACGGAGTAGTTTTATAAACAACAGACTCATAAAATCTTTAGTCGTGAATTAAAGGTATAATAATAATTTGTAATAATAAATGCATTTGAAGAAATAAAAGGAGAGATGTCGGTAAAATATAATAATAAACAAAGACACTTACACTTTTTTTGCCCTGTATAGTTCGCTTCACAAAGTAGGCACGCGTCATTGTTAAGATTGAAAAAATCTTGGAAGCACTACGCGATGAGTAAATAACTGACCTCTCACGGGCTAAATTCAGCCGACAGGTTTTGCAGACAAAAGTGTTCAAGAGTGTGCACGAACACCGACTGCGTGCGTGATGCATGGGTAAATCGCGAGGGAAAGGCATTTTCATATACTGCCCTATTATTTTTACTTTTGCATGAATAAAATTATTGTCATATCATAGAGCTCCAAAGCTGACCATGAAAATGCGCTCGCAAAATACAAAGATGTGCACCATCCATACAGAAACAACATAAGAGAAAATACGTCGAGATGGAATCAATTTCTTTTTTATTCTAGAAAATGTAGGGCATGCATGAGTAATAAGGAATCCAAAAACGCCGCCTCTGAGACAGACAGGTGTTTCTTCCACTAATGCGATAACTCGCTGTCGTGTGACTTGGCTAGCTGTCGTGTGACATGTCGATGTATGAAGAGGGGTTAGTTCAATTTGCTTAGCCGTGAGTAAAAATATTGATTTTTCTTTCTTAAAGTACTGCCAAGGAGAGTGGGCAGTAGAGTGAGGCTTAAGAAAGCAAATATATAATCTCTCTCGTCAAAAAACATGAGTTGATTTAACTCTCTTCTGAAATATAATATTGTGGCAAGCAGAGACATCACAAATATGGGCGTCTGATGTATGAATGAAGCAGTCATATTTTGCGTTAATTTTAGATTGAAATTGTTTGCTGAATTGAAAAAAAATCGCTATTTATTGCAGTTATTTTTTACACAAAATCTATATTATCTTTGATGTGCATTAAGAACATGCAAGACACAAAATAGATTTCTTCATACACATGAAATGGTTAGATAAATCTATGATATATTAATTGACCCCAATAGGATAATCAAAGTCCAGGAACGTTTTTACCGTTGCAGCTACGAAATTTCAGTACACAACTAAGGCCTCCCACATGAAGCTAAGAAATCTCATATACATCACTGCAAAGTCGATGCCTTATTAAGAATAATTAATTGCTGAACATCAACAGTTTTATCACCTTTATTCACATTACGTAACATTAGCGTACGGGAATCAGTGCATGCATCTATAATTTTGTTCGTTTCTTTCGGGGCAAAAGAGAGGAACAGTATAGCAGGGACAAAACTCAATAAGTAAAGCAGGAAACTCAAGACCCGATTTAATTAATTACTTGCAGATACAAAAAAACATCGATATTTCTTGTCAATAAATTATTATTATTATTATTATTATTATTATTATTATTATTATTATTATTATTATTATAATTATTATTATTATTATCATCATCATTACAAGTACTAGCAGTACTACCTCAGCAGAAGTTGCAGCAACTTGATTGACAATGCACAAGGCAGATTATGAATCCCGAAGACTCCGGACTCACATATCGCAAGAATTTCGTGAATTGTTTTATTTCTTGTTAAATGACTCTCTTTTAGAGATATCTTCGTCATACTCGATGTAATACGAGCGCAGTTGTTTTTGTACTCGATGTCATAAAAACAGTTTTCTTCGTATAAAAGTGAAAATAATGATGCATTATTTTAAAATTATTTTTATTCGCAATTTAAAATTGTGTTACTTTGGTATCAATGCTGCACGTCTAGATTATTAACATTGTTTTAGAATTCCTTGTTCGCAGTAGCGAATTTAGCCGACTTCATGCGTTTAATATAGTATTATATATATATATATAATAATTATTATATTAATATATATACTATATATATTATGTGTGATAGTGTGTGTGTGTGTGTGTGTGTGTGTGTGTGTGTGTGTGTGTGTGTGTGTGAAAAAGATTTTAACTTTCAGTGAGATATTTTATACGCTCTCCGATAAAATAAATTTAATCTTAACAGTTGATTCAAGGGAATGTAATTTCAAACAACCTTAGCGCCGTCGGCAGGCAGATTTGTGCATCGCCATCAGCCTCTCGAGCCAAGACATTTTTGTCCCGAATAATTATGTTTCCATGGAGGTACTTAATCTGTAGTTGTTGAAATAGAGAATTTCCAACTAAGTAAATTGAGATATATACATACATACTTGAGCATTTTCACTACAGATGAGATGAAAGTTTTTCGCCGAACAGGACTAGCTGCCATAACTGAATAATTGGCAGACCCTTCGTTCCAACCACCAACGGCTAAAGATACCTTTAGTTTCTTGTTAACATTTCGAAGCTGAATGTATTTCTGAAAGGCACCTGTAAAATATAATACAATGACGATTATGCTTATTTCTCAAAGCCATTACATTCACAACAGAATAAATCATTTCATATATAATCCCTATCTCATTTGTAAACCATCAGATAAAATTTCAAACCTTTTATAACTATTAACAATACTCTTAAACATATAATAACCACGTTTGATGGTGAATACATCACAACCTTTTTGATTCTCATTCACTGTTCTCAGCGATGAACGGTTTGCAACGAATATCTGGAGTGTTATTTTTTCCTTTAGAAAGGAGTTGGAAACGTTCACGCCCAATTACGATATACATTTGCCATAAGAAAAAAATTATTATGAAATTCTATCTTTTAATCGTGGAGGTAGCCCTGGACAACACTCGATCAGGGGAAAAAGAGCGCTGACGAATCGCTAACACTCAACTTTAGTGCCTACGACAGGCGCAAAATCCCAAGGATTCGGAAAGAAGTTGTTCAAGGGGCAGGACCTTCTTTGTTTACCTATAAGGCGACAATATTAACTGTTGCTGTCGTCTGACATATTTACCTACGCCTAATCCATGAAGCAACTAGTGTGCTAAAATAGCACGAACTTTCACGCCCGTACAATCATGCAAAATTATGAGAAAAGAATTCAAATTTTCGAAAAATCGTACATGACCTTATTTCAAAATCTATCTTTAAGGTACTGATTTCATAATGGCACAAAATATCCAACTTTGTAACTAGTTGTAGAAACGCGCTGATTTTTTTTTATTTTTTTCAATTTTCGAAAAATCAGAGTATTCAACAAAAATGGGACCTGCACCATTTCTTAAACGTCCTTCACACTAACCATCATCAACATTTAATAAAAAATTATATAATCTTTTTTTTTTGAAAATGCCCCAGGGCTTCACGTAAAATCCCCCCAAAAATTAGAATATCGGTTTCAAATTCAAGTGTCCGCGACATCAGCCCGATCGATAGGGGAATATCAATTTTGGAAAACTTCGGTAGAACGGTGTAGCCGCTAGTTTTGTTTACAGACGGATTGACGGACTGACAGTGGACGGACTGATGGGAAGACAGACGGACGGACAGACTGATGGACGGACAGAGGACGGACAGACAGACGGATGGACAGACGGACGGAGAGACAGATTTTTGCCGTCATTCGATTTTTGGTATCCAGGACCCATACAACCTGGATTGTGGCTACACCACAATGTTTTTCTAAATTTAGCAGCTGGGTCCATTTTTCATTTATTTAGGACCGCAGAACTCCAATTGTAATTGCGTCCAACAAGGTGACGGGAAAGGTGACAATTATAACTTTCTCTGTAGGCGTAAGCAGTAGCGAGAAAGTAAACATATTTGTGAGCATCAGGTACTCCGAACCTGATGTACAGTGTGAATCAATGATTTTATTTGTAGAGATTGAGACCCCTGTTCCTGGAGATTACCTTTCCTATTCCACTTAACATAGAAGGGGAGGTTCGCATGATTGCAGCAGTTAAAGAACGGTGAAGATACCTGAAAGGTTCCGATTCGACTTGCACGAAGCCGATCGCTACTGCTGCCACGCCTGTTTAAAGCATTTAGGGCGCCTTCCCACGCCGCCACGGCAGCGCATGTTCGTCAAGCGGCAGGGCTCTTCGCCCACTCTCCGGCGACGACGGACAAAGGGATCGCAGCAGGTATAAACAACAGTTCTGCGCTGCGGCCGTCGCGCAGTGAGAAGGCTACCATTTAAAGCTGTGTTCTGCTTGCGGTGGCGCGTACGCCCTCCTCCGCTTCGCGTAGCAGCGGACACCCGCTGCACGTGGGAAGAGGCCCTTAGGGCGCCTTCCCACGTCGCGACGGCCGCGCGCTTCCGTCAAGACGCTCGCCACGCGAAGTGGAGGAGGGGGTACGCGCCACCACTAGCACAACACAGCTTTAAATGGTAGCCTTCCCGCTGCGGCCGCCTGTCGCTGCATTCTACCTGCTCCGGGCCCTTTGTTCGACGTCGCCGGAGGGTTGGCGAAGAGCCCTGTCGATTGACGTACGCGCGCTGCCATGGCGGCATGGGAAGGCGCCCTTAGCTCTCGACGGGGCGCCCTGCACGCCGCTCGCCCACCAACGTTCGCTCAGTTGGGTCCAACTCCCCAAGGAACACAGGGCACTGGCGGCGCGCAGCGCTCTGCGCTCCCGCCACAAGAATTCGATCTCCATTTCTAGTAGAGCGTCCAAACGAAAACAGAAATACTCAATAACTCTGACTTCCACTCTAAAACAAATTAAAGCTGTTGGCTGTTGCTGAGCAGCAGTACGCTCTGAAGAAGGCCACAATACGCTGGCCGAAACGTCAGCCACCATGACTTCGACGCGGCTTGTCCCGGATAGCCCAGCCAACATAAACTCCGGCCGCGGAAGCCTACGCAACCAAATTAAAGCTGTATTTCACAGGTCGTTCTCTGAACCTATCTATTTGATACCTATTTGAAACACCTGAAATCATACTACTTATTGTTCTTTTTTCTAAAAATATTTCAATAATCAGCTAAGAGAACAGTTCTGATGGGGAAGGAGAGGATAAAGCCTTATATCTAAGCCGACGGTACCACATGCACAATTCACAGTGAATGAGAAAGATGAGCAAATAATGTTATTTCGGGCCAGTACGCTTTTTCTGCTTTGAGAAAGATGTTTCAGATAGGAAGAAATTCACTCTAGCGCAATACCACCAATTGCATAAAAAGGTAAATTTCCAAAAAGTCGATAAAGGCTTTCCAAAAATCTAAACATACTTCAACATGCGCCTGAGTTGGTACATTGATGAAGCAACATCTTTAAGAAAAGAAAGTGTAACTCTTTCCGTACGCTTCTAATACTTCTTATAAAATGAGTTTGAAACATCTCCATTTCACAGTACATTGTGTAAATGAACAGTAATTACATTTTTACTTGTTTGAACGGAATAGTCAATACAGCTGAATAGTGGTTTGAAATGTTAATTAAATAAAACATGGAAATCTGTTTCATTGCATTAGTTGATAAACGTAACTTCAAGATCCAATACAGTGATATACAGCATAAAAACATAGATAGCGACAAGAAAATTTAATTTATTCTAATCAAATGCGCTTTCTTTAAATTTTTTACTTTGAATGAATGCAATATGTAAGGAAATAAAATAAACATATCAAACAAATAAAAAAATATGTAGATATAAATTACAAACGTTACCTTTGCCGCCATTGTCTTCTAGGTCATTCCATGGATCAAGCACTTTTATGCTGGAATCTTCTGGATTTATTCCAACAAATGCATATACCAGATGTGAACACAGACTAGGGAGTACATTGCTAAAATCAAATTTGCCCCCGACAGGTCGGTACGTTGCCCAAGTACTTACATAGCAAGTGATTATGGGATCCACTTTCGACTCAACTGTATCTGGATCTGCAATAAAATTGAAGCATAATTTCCATTAAAGTGTCCTAAGTTTAACTAAAAAATGTTACCCTGACTATCAATAAAATAACACACACACACACACACACACACACACACACACACACACACACACACACACACACACACACTGCAGAAAATGTTCAGAGCACCAGCACTCACTCATCAGTTGCAGGCATTTCGGCGCATCAAAGTGTTTTTTTCCAGGAATATGATGAGCACTTTATCCCCTATTGAATTGAATTGAATTGAATTTGCCTTTATTTACGTGGCGAGACTCGGGCCATCAGGCCCGCTCTTCCGTCTGACCACGCAAATTTCGCTACGCTCCTTTCACCAACTAGGAGAGAAAGGAGGTATTTCTTGGGCGAGAAACAGGCGATTTGAATTTAGCTCAGAGGCGTCATTTAGGCTTGAGGATCTTTTACATGCAAGTAAATCTACGAACATGGGACAGCCGGCTTTACTTCCCCTCCGAAGGAAGGCGTACGAAGGATTTTTTCGCCCTTAAAAATCCACGGCTTCGATCGGGTTTAAACCCGCCAACTTGGGTACAAGAGTTCAGTACGCTAACCGTTACACCATCGCCGCCTATGAGAGTATTATTATTATTATTATTATTATTATTATTATTATTATTATTATTATTATTATTATTATTATTATTATTATTATTATTATTATTATTATTATTATTATATGTTTTTTCAAAATTTCACGCTCGACCGGACTTTCCAGATATAACTCAAGGACAAAACGTCAACACAAATGGTGAGAAGTTCTTGCTTCAGGTTCCCCTTCAATGACTAAGAGAGAGAATCTTACGCCCAATATTGGTGGTTGCCGCCTTCTGCGTGGTTCTGAAGTACCATTCATTTAGGTGGAATTAGTTGAAATAACTGCGGGTACAATATCTACCTCTATTAGTTTATGTTTTTCAGTTCAATTGAGAGTGGCTGGTATTATCTTTTCTGTAATTGTTCACAGCAGATTATGATCTAGATATGGGACTGCTATATCTACAACACAATGCGACAATGAAATTTGCCGCAGAACGAAAATATGTGATTGCTATGTAGTTCAGTGCCCTGATGACAATTGTGAAAATCATTTTTCGCTGCCAACTAAACGTTTTTTTTTGAAAATTCAATTTTATTTGCGATCGTTTGCGTTATTTATGTTGTCACGGCGCTAATCACAGTGTGTTATTTTAGAAACATTACTGCTTAGTATTGTTATTAGAGAGGGGAAAATGAGATAAACACTTGGGGTAGATAAAAGGAAGTTCCACTTGCATCAATAAATCCATAGAGAGATCACACAGTATTTATTCCTGAAGTGTGTAAATCCGCTAACTTGACGAATATTGTTTGTGCATGTTCTTGTGTTTCTTATACTCAACGATGTCTATGAAGTCTGTTAATGCACCAAATATTATCTGATACGTGTGTGTCCAGTTTACGACTAAGTCTCAAAGACATCCCATTTCTCCGGTCGCCAAAAAGGCACACGAGTTGTTTTTTGAATCCAAGGTACAAGAGGATAAGTGATGGTCATCACAGAACTGTTGCTCCCGTTATTTAAGAGCCTGGTTGCATGAAATCCCCCTTTCAATGTAATTTGCCGTACCACAGTTGTGGAGGGAACCTAGAGACGACATTGCAGATTGCAACTTTTGTTTAACGAAAGTAACAGGAATCTCAAGTAAATCAAAACACACAGTTCAAACAATCATAACACTCACATTTGCAAACACACACCTCTGCAATGCGCCTAGTTCCGCATTCTGATTCTCTCCCTGTTCCAAAACCACTAACAGAATGGAAAAATGACACATAGTTGGTATATTGTAATAACTTAAATGGACTGCTTACAAATGTTGGATGATTCACAATCGGAAAGAATGGCGCTCACTTATATATACCCCAAAGAGTAGTCTCAAAGCCAGTCTCTTACATAACGAAAACGAGAAACCTTCGATACCAGTGGCCCTTTCCTTTCAGGTAAAGGAAAACTACGAGACCATGAGGATACTCCTCAAGTATACTGGCTATTCGAATAACAAATGAAAGATCTGTCAGACTGCTTACACAAAATATTGCTGTTTCTTGTGCCACTGAGATAGTAGGGCAAGGAAAGAACGTTATGTAGTCTAAGAGTGGTCTTTGAGAGAAATGTTCAATCCTGGTAAAAATGTGCCACATGAATCCGTAATTGATGAAGACAATGTGATGTTACCGCCACCTCATCTAACATTGGGCTTTATGAAGAATTTGGGGAAACCAATGGACAAAGATGGCCAGGGTTTTCAATTTTTACTATCTAAATTTCCTACCATTAGTATTAAAAATAATGAGCTAATTTTCATTAAGCCTCAGATTCGTGACTTGATGAAAGATATTACCTTTGAACAGTTGCTGATGGCTATTAAGAAAACAGCTTGGCTTGCATTGAAAGATGTATGCGACAATGTCTTGGGGAAGATAATGTCTAAGAATTCAAGAAAGTGACGGTACACATGCTGAACTGTTACAAGGCTATGGAGAGTAACATGCCTCTGAAATTACATTTTCCTCATTTACATTTGGATTTCTTTTCACCTAATCTTGGAGATGTGAGTGACGAACATGGTAAGCAATTTCACAAAGATACCGCGGCGATGGAAAAACGATAGAAGGGAAATTGGTCATCAAACCTTTTGGATAATTACTGCTGGGCACTCCTACAAGAAGTATCACTATTCATCCACAAACAGAAAGTTTCCAGGTAAAGTTTCTAACTTTTAAGTACATTTTAAGCTTTATTCAACTTTCTTGTATTCGAACTTTCTGGTTCTCGTTCTTTTTCGTACTGTTTTCATTCTACGTTTTGTAATACAAACAATTAATTGTGCAAAAAATTAATATAAACAATTTTGTAAAACAAATAATTTTTGTTACATGATCTGTAGGTTAATACACTACAGATACCTCCTGCATTGTTATTGAGTCATTTCCAAGTTTCTCGAAAGTGGAATATGTGGTATACCTTTTCCAGAAAAACTGGTACGTGATGGAACATTTCTGATTTCTTTTTTTGCAATCACCGCATGTTATATAGTAAAGAACACATGCATAAACTTGTTGTACTGTGTAACACTAGGGAACAAGATTTTTACCTCCAGGACGGTGCGTAACATACTCAATTTTATACGTAGATTGTAAATATCAAAATAAAAACGTCGTATCACGTCACAGTTTTTTTATATACGTACTATCTTTGTACCGTATTACACCGTATTTTGCTATTAATGCAAATACATTTAAATTGCACCATTAAGATATATAGAATCAATACGCATAAAATCTGTATAATAATAAAATATTTGTTCAGTTTATCAATACCACTTTCATGAGATATCAACAAAATTAGGCTTTCGTGTTTTGTTTACGTTGTTTTCGAAGATGGCCGCCTTTATTCTCGCGTCTGATAGTCGCCCTAAGTTATGAGTAGGTCTTAGTGGCCTTAGTAGACGTTTTGCAAAAAAGTCACGTGCACACTCATATTTGCTACTGTGCACCAGTCATCGAGAGGAATCATTTTAGAGCCTTACCTTATCACAAGTATTTTTTATTAGCCAATTGCACATCCCATTAAGGGCACGGGCCTCCTGCTTGAGCAAGGGATTTATTAAGACTTCTTTAATGTAGAAATAGGATGATGATGAGGGGTGAAGGGATCACAAACACATCGAAGCCCAAGGCGGGATTCGAACTCGCGATCCTTCGATCCGAGAACGCCACGACACTACTGCCTGTCGGCTGTCGTCTACCCGGCTACTGGATGTCGGCTACCCGGATTGGCTATCTGAACTACAGAAGTATCCAACTCTTCAGGTGGCAGATTCTGAGTCAGTCGGCGTCCTGTACCAGCAAGGCTCGTGAAGTTCGTGTCTGGTTTGCGTGTGCCTCACATACATTAATTACATTACAGTTCTGTAGTTTTTATGAAGAGAAATTCGCCACATGACCTGTAGAATTGAATCAGTTCGATAAAATGCAAATCGTCATTTCACATCGAAAGTGTGCAAATCAAGCCAATAACATCTGTTGCATTTGTGGAAGATTTACACTCAAACTTCAAAGGGAAAAAATGAAATTACAAAACTTGCGTATTCTTTATACTTTGGCTATCGAGTTTCTGATCAGGACAAACCATGGGCTGCTCACCAGTGTTGTCACATGCACATCGAACTGTGGCTGTGATGTGCAGAAACTCAAATAAATCATTCCCTCTGCCAATGTTGTGGAGAATATCGACAAACAATTTTAATGTCCGCATATAATTGCACGAAAATGCGTATTCCAATTATCAATTATCCTTACTCTCTTCTACTTGTTCTTCTTGTTCATATGAACCATGCTCATAAAATTTTGTATTAATATAACCGGAGTGACAATGTGAAAATTAGTATAGGATTTTGTTTATTTAAAATATCAAATATGTTTATAACTTTTGAACCTGGCGCTATAGAAACTTTTTATAATGATTTTCAATATCAGGGTGATCATTCCTTTGAAATCACCTACTTCCATCCAGGAGGAATGAAAAAAAAGTTTTTGTTCCCTAGTGTTATTATTGCCCAGCGAGTAGTTTTGTCGAACACGACAATATCAGGCTTATTTGTTTGCATTGTTTTATCGGTAACAATGGCAGTACCTCACAAGATTTTTGTTCTCTCGTTAGAACTTGCTCCGGTAGATATTTGTAATAAGGCAAACTTCCCTTTAACAGGTGTCATCTTTTGGCAAGAGTTTGGTGGATGATTTTTGTCACATTATTATGATTTATTATTACTATTATTATTATCATTATCAGTAACAGTATCATTATCAGTAGCAGTAGTAGTATCTATTAATATCATCTATTATTAGAGCCGAACTGTCAACGACAAAGATCGAAACTGATTCCATATTCGAAAGATATTCAAAAACTAACTAAAGCGAGAA